GCAAAATCTGGACTCTGGATGTCTCAGATGTCGTCCTTCACGATACACAACCTGCCCTATAGAGAAAAGAAGCCTACAACGCATAGAAACAAGGTTACTCATACTTCAGGGATGCCGTGTAATCGACAAATGATGCTTCGGGCCTCCGGCTCTCTCCACTCAAGCGGCTCTCCATTCAGCTCTCTCCACTCAAGTCGATGTCCATTCGGCTCCCTCTCTGGAACAATCTGGAAAATAGGGTTACTCGAACAAATATTCTTTCACGTTTGTATGTTTGGAAGCAGACTGTTATTCTCCCTCCCCTTTGGACTAGGGCTCACGGGCCTGTCTTAGGCCCAATCCTCCTGGATTCTTTTCTTTTATGGGGCAATGATTTCTCTTCCTACACATTCCCTTTTTCTCTTTCTTTTTTGACTAAAAGGACAAATAGGCCCATGTATCGGTTCTATAAGCTTAACTCAGTCTCTAAACAAAAAAAAGTCCAATTGACATCCCGAACCGACAAAAAAGGGTTAAAGTTTTATTTTTTAAGTTTAAACGAATGACAAAAAAAAGTCCAATTCGCACCCCAAAACTATTAAAAATGTCCAAATTGCAATAAACCGAAAATAAAAAACAGAAACAATTAAAAGTAAAAAACAAAATGACTGGTTGTTTACCCGTAAAAAAAGAAACTTGAACCATTTTTTATCGTTTCAGGATGTGAATTGAACCTTTTTTAGTTTAGGGGCTAAATTGAGCTTACACAGCCGGTACAAGGGCCTATTTGACCCTTTAGCCTTCTTTTAAATACTACTTCCGCCCCCGATTGGTACAAAGGAGAGTTGTGCGATTTTTTAAAAAAATAGAGTTATGTGGTCATTGTGGTGTATAATAAATCAATAAAAGGAGAATAAAGTAAGAATGGATTGGAGTCACAAAAATATCATCAAATATGGTATGAAACAAATTTAGTGGGACAAACGAAAAATGAAAAATGGGACAATTATAGTGGGATGGAAAGAATAAAATTTAGGAAAATGTCCGCGACATTTGGCACACCATCCAACGTAGATTTTCGGATCCAACAAAAGTCCGTGGAGTGAACGTTAGTGAGGGGGAATTATAGGAGGGGTTCTGACAACCTGAAGGAGATGGTTAGAAAGGGGATGTAGGAAATGGAATAGGGGGATCGCCGGATTGGAGGAGTGAAAGTAAAGCAAAACTTTATCATTTTTAAACACAAGTCAACGTTGTTTTGGGCAATGAGGCTAATTATTTAATTTAGATCACAAACAATGGTCTTCTTCCTTACTTCCATCAATACTCCATTATGATTATCTGAAAAGGTACCCATTTTCAAATAAGTGATTGAAACAACTAATGAGGAATATATGATTAAATGAATAGAGGGTAATAAAAATGTGACTTTTGTATACTTTTGTAATTATAATATTGTTTTTAGTATTCATGATTAATTTTATATATGGTGAGTATAGAGTATAACATGTTTAGAGTCCGTCTGGTAACACGGAAATGAATGTTCTACAGGGCGGATCCTTACATTAATTTTAGTCAATTTGGCAAGAAAAGTAACATTAAAATTACTTATTTTGATTATAACATGATTCAATCATGAAATTAAAATTCTCAAGTTTCGTAAAAAAATTGACAGACATGGCTAATAAACTGAAAAAATTACCAAACGAGCTCTTATAGTAATTTAAATCACATTTTAGTAGTCCATAATATTTTAAAATAACCTTCTGAATAAAATAATATGAGTACACAACACAGAAAAGAAAAAATCAAATTAATAAATAACTAAAGTAAATAGTTGGCAAGGTGAGAGTATAATTGGGTGCAATATTTAGTGGATGGTGGTATTATTACGAGTGTGTTTTTGTTTAAAAATAATAATGATAACTACAAACTTTAAATTAGGACAAGGGGATTATTACTTATTATATGAAAAGCAGAGTATTTTGTGCTTGGGGTTCATACAGTTTAGCGAGTTGATCGGTTCATACAGTTTAGCCAGTTGATTGTCTCGCACAGTTCAAATTTTAAAAATATTAAAAATATATGTGGAGGATATGGATTGAAGTAAATGTTTGTTTTTATCGCATTGCAGTTTAGATTTTAAATTTTGGGAAACCAATATCAAACCATTAGCACAACACTACAGGTGGTGGATAAGTTGTTGTTCATATAAGAATGAAAACATTGTTTGAAGTAACATTGATATTAGTGGTGTGAGGTAACGTGATTGTTCTGTGTAAGTGTAGGTAAGAAATCAGTATAGTTTAACCAGTTTTAGCAAATTGTTGATTTACTAGAGTGAATAAAAATCTGCACTAGAGTAAAAAAATAATAGAAGTTACCTGACATGCAATATCTCATTCATTTTAGCTCAAATTAGTGTAGAGGATCATTGTAGCTATTTTATCATATATTTTTTTATTTAATTTATTAATAACAAATATTTTAAATATAATTTTTCCATTAATCAGCAGAATCAACCAATACAATCACTTCAGCCATAACTTCATAAATTTCTGCAGAATCAGCCAATTCAATCAATTTTAGTGTTACCAAACAGGCTCTTAAGAGTTACAATTCCAACCATGGCCAATTGGATGTTATTGTGTTAAGAGTTAAAAATCGTGCAGGTCTCAAAATCCTTATATAAAACGAAGATGATTGTCCACAATGTATCATACCAACATTACATATTACCATAAAATTACATATTACACTTTCTTTTCTTTTGTTAAATCATTATCATTTATGATATTTAACTTATACAACGAACCAAATTTAAATTATCAAGTAATTATAATGCTTGAACAAACTATGCACCGTGCATCGCACGGGTACCGTACTAGTCACTTTTAAGAAGCACAAACGCAAACACTCCATTTTGGTGTGAATGACTATTGAGTGATTCGTAAAGTAGAGTTAGGCGAGGCTCGTCTTGTCCCCAATTGGCACTATTAAACAACTAATAAGGAAAAAGGGACAAAAATAACCATTGCAGCTAGAACTGGTCCAGAAAATGTATACCCAAGACCAGTCCCCTTGGTGTTTAGGCCCTTATACCGCCCCCAATCTCACTTCTTATCCGGAATCGGAAAATCAATCTTGAGCCCTTCTTGGTGCTAATTTAAAAAATGAACAAATGCTGCGTAGAAAAGACGGAAAACTTTGTCATGATGTATGAGCCCTTCAATTTCTATTACTCTTTCCGTCCTTTAGAAAGGTTCTCAATTTTCTTTTTTGGACGTTCCACACTTCCATATAAAGATTCTCATTTCTATTTCAAGAAACAATTAACCATCTTAAGTGACAATTTAATCATTAAATATTAAAAATAATGCATTTATAACATCACATTTACCAACACTAACCTCATTATATCATATACGCATTAAAATTATTTTTAAAAATACATTCAAATTACCTTATGTAATTATTGTCTAAATAATCGTGTCGTTTTATCATAAGAACCTTTCGACGAGACAAAACTTTTTAAAAACTTTTTCTAAAAACTTTTTATTACCGACCAATTTCTAAAAACTTTTTTTAAATAATCGTGTCTTTTCTAAAAACTTTTTATTACCGACCAATTCCTTTGTGTACCATAGTACCATACCCAAGAGTATGGCCACCTTGCTGAAGCAGAGCCCAACCATTTGTAGTGGCTCAAGGTCAAGGCTGGGAGAGACACCATTCCACCAACCCGCCCAACATACCCCAAGTTAAATCACCCTGAAGGAGCCGTGGATGTGGTTGGTGGCAATTGAACACGGGAAACACGACCTGTCCTGCCTGGTCCCAGAACTGGCTGGTTTTTTTAATATAAAAAACCATTATGTTAAAATAATAAAAATGAGTACAAACGCTAATGAAGAAAGAAAGAAAAAAGAACTAGTGGAAAGGGGAAAATATGCTAAGGAAAGAAAAAGGTAGCAAAAGCTCGCCTCTTCCAAACGAAGATATCCCAATCAATACGTATGCCTTCACCTATCTCAAGAAATCCAAACAATTCAATTTCCAAAAGACCACAAAGCGTTATAACTGCGGTTTGGAAGAATGAAAATAAAACTAACTCGAAGGTGGTTCGGAGTGCAGATGGGATCTTGAATTATTGGGAGATTGTTTATAAAGGGGCATTCACAATCCACCGCCTTAATCCACTTGGGCAAAAGTTGCACATCAACATGCAGTGTACTCGAGTAGATGGAGGAAGCCACAGGTCAGATACATCAAAGTCAATATTGATGCCTCAATGAATGAGACATGAGGTGTGAGAGCATGAAGTTAGATTGACAGGACAGATAATGGAGATTTCATATAGGCAACGAGTAGTTCCAGAAGAGGGGATTGGAGTCCGGCTGAGGCCGAAGCCTTAGGTGTGCAGGCTGCGATGGTAGCGGTGATTAAGGAAGGATGAGAGTGTGTGGAGTTTGGGTCAGATGCTCAGCTAGTCGTGAATGGCGTCAAAGGTGTTCATGGTTGTTCTTATTTTGATTTAGGAGGATTTTAGAGGTTTATTGAAATCACAGAGAAGATTTGGTCTCTCTTACTGTAGAAGGTTTGCCAACCGTGTTTCCTAGCTAGGCGAGGCATGTTATTACCAGAGCAGGATATCAGTTTTGATTTTATTCCTGATTGTATTGTCAACTAGATAGCAAAAGATTTGCTTGAGTAATGTTAGATTGTGTTTGTTTTAACAAAAAAAATAATTCCCTTCAAACAATGTTGACCGAAGCAAGAAAAGCCTGTTGATGACCTGTTTTGCCTTAATGCGAGCACTTCTCCTAGGAAGTACTTGAAATCCTTTTTTTTAGGGAAGAAGTACTTGAAAGCCTGTGAACGGAATTTCTACCTATTGTCTGGTTCCAGTTTACCTAGCCGGTTATTTTCCAGTACCCTTTTTAGTATTGATAGATACAATTTACCCTATTGAAAAATAAAATAAAGGAATTTATTGAAGCATTACACTAGTACACGTGAAATATATAAAAACTATGAACACTTGAGTTAAGCTCATCTCTTGCATCAATTTTCATTTTCATGTTAATTTATCCTATTCTTCCACAACCACATTGAAACCATCAATTGCTTTTAGGATCCATTTATGCACAATCTCCATTTCTTTTCCACTTTTAGATATCTAATACTGAAGTGGTAACATCAATTGGTATAATAAAGACAGACCCAGGTGGAAAGCCAAATTAGAGCTTCCTCTCTGAGTACATCAAGGTGAAACTACCAGCTCCTGTACATCCCCTCTTCATCTTCTACATTGATCAATCAGAACTAAAACTGTAAAAAAAACAAATTACCGCCGGAAGTCAGCTTGAACTGGTCTGGTGAGTGCTCTCACAAAGTAGGCGCGAGTCTCAGGTAAAATACGTTGAATCAGAGGTGAGTACCTGCAAAATAGGTAACATTGCTCTGTAAAAAGTTGTCAATGTTCTAATTTTTGCTTTTCTCGAATAGGAAAGTGCACATAACCTACATACCAATGCATGACGTTAAGTTTGTCAAAGTTCTCCAAGACAAAAAGAATGCAAGCGTTTCTTAATGTTGTGGCGCTAAAAGCCTCGGACAACTCGAACATCATAGATACATTTTCTACTGAAATATCCTATAGAGTTCATATAATGAATTGTCAAATACATTGCAGCAAAGAATCCTTTTCTTTCTTCCCATACAAGAAAATCGTGAAATACCTGTGCAATTGTATATTCGCATAGACGTTTTAGGCCATCAAGCAGATATTGATCAGCTGCTCTAAGAAGGTCCTGAGAAATTTCCAAATTAACATCAACAGACCCTGTGTATATGTACCTGCAAATAAGGAGAGTCACTTTTAAGAAAGGAAATGAATTGTTTCTGCTACCTCTATCATACAAAAAATATTTTCACCTCATCATCAACTCAAAAACATCCCATCTGATATTTGGGATCTCAATGTCTTTGGCGTCTCTCTCCTGGATTATAGCAAGAAAACATATTATACAGCATTAGTTATAAAACCCTTCAAGTCACTGACACACAAAAAAATGTTAATAAAAAACATGCAAAAACTTTAAAAACTCGTAATCTATCTCACCCTGTAACCACCATCAAACATTGCCCGAAATGCATCCGAAGAAGCAAGCAAGCAAATCCTGTGGGCATAAAACCGCTTGCCTAATGATTATAACATGAATGAAAATATCACAGCATCAGAGGCACAAGTATTGAAAGGATATACAAGGATGATTAATATTTAATAGGCAATATAAGATTTATACCTTCAACTAAAAATATCACATCTGAGAGTGTAGGATTATTTACATACTGATCACCCAGATAGACCTGCATAATATAATATGCAATTCATCATCATCATCATCATCATCATTACCCCAGTGCCGCAAAGGCTCCCACCTACGGTGGGGTAAGGTATGACAAATCCCATTGTTACTAATCCCAAATAATTTGAAACAAGAAATGACAACATAAAACAAATCCCATTGTTATATAAAGTTAGAAAATAAAAAGAATGCAGTCAGTAAAGGTATATGTTTCCACCCCATAAAAAGAGTTTGGAAATCAAAACAATCTCCACTTTAATATTTTCTCCCTGTAGAACAAGTCTTGTTTGGCCAAGATATATGGCAAAGTACAACTGTTATAAGTCATAAGTGGTACTCAATTTTTAGATTTTTTTAGAGTTTACCTAAATTTATCATATTAAACTTGTTTGTAACTCTATTTTGGCAAAATAATTCAAACAATTAACCAAGCATTCCAACCTAGCTGGTTGTGAGGTTACCGTGCATAGTGGGAGGTCTCGAGTTCGAAACCCGCTAGGCACACAAGGGTTTGAAACTCAACGGAGTGAGTTTCAACCCTGATTACTCCAGCCCCTCCCCCCAGCCCCCACCCCCCAGACCCCCCTGGAGTAAAAAAAAAAATCAAACAATTATATTCATTTGATAAAAACAAAAAAGAGAAAATTAGAAACGTGACTCTTTTTATGGGGCAGGGAGTATGTTATATGAACAGATCACATAGCACACATTAAACTAGATCGATAAGAAAACAAAAAATACCTGGGATACTGGAGAGGGAGGAGCTGCATCAATATGAGAAAGTGAACTAGCTTCATTTGCTAATTTACATAGGGCAGCTGAGGCATCTCTTTGGTGCTTTACAATTGTTGATTCCAGAAGCTCCAAAATCAATTCCAGACCTGAAAGTGTTGAACATAGGGAAAGAAAACATTTTGAGATGTGTGCAAGACACTTAAACTGAACTCAAATCACGTAGATGAATACTTATTCGGAGTTCATATGGAAAAAGATTTCACCATTGTTATCAAGAAAAATTGTCTTGTGATCCTCTGGTGATGACAAATGAGCAAGAGCCAATGCAACTCGTCTTTGGACTACATTATCTTCAACACGCATCAAATACAACAAGTAGCTTAAAACCTGCAAACAAGGAAAACAGATATGTGATTGTACTCAGGAAGTACACTGGGTTGCATATACCTGCCAATGAACATTCCAAGAAACTAAAACTATAAAAAATGATAACATTTTCCAGAAGCTATAAAAGTGTAAAAACTCTGAAGTATAACTTACACGCCCATGAATCTTCTCCTCTAATCTTTTCAATGTCTTCGCCACACAGTCTCTAGTTGGCTACAATTATTGATGTCAAATAATAACATGAGAAAGCAATATACAAAGATATTCTAAAGATACTAAAAGAATACACTTATGTGACATAATAATATATATGTTGACACAATTCGAAAATATCAATTAAGGAAATATGAGATCATACTTGAACAATAAATTCTCCATCTTGAAGTTTTTGAACACCCCCGACCTTGATTAGATCTGCAACATTATCCTACAAAAGAATGTCACATTGTCACAAGTAGTCAAAAGGAATAACCGAATAACAGATTAAGAGAATACGCCACAGCAGATCAAAGAATGGCCAAAATAAGAAAAAGTACCACCTCATTATCTGCAAGCCCATATAGTGCAAATGCTGCATTGTGTTGGAGGTTTCCATTTTTTGAATCAAGAAGTCTCAGTAATGGCAATATACCACCACTATGAGCAATACCAGCTTGATTGTGTGTATCCTAGAAGTAAAAGGGATCAATAGTTTAAGTGAAGGGGGAAAAAGCAATAAAAGAATTAAAAACTGAAGAACGTACATCACTACACATAAAGCGCTTACAGTAAGTGAAGTGAGAAAAAAACTAGTATACAGTAAATCTCAAAACCTAAGGCATTTACTTTTTTGAATAAGAATCTATGAACTTCTCCTCGTCCTTTAGCATGTACCTCAATCATGTTTAATATAAAAGGCAGAAGTTTCTAGCATCCAAACATCAGTTATAACTATAAATTGCATTGCATAATAGGACATGAGTTACCTGTGCCAACCGCCCTAGCGCAAAAGCTGACATTTCTCGTAGTTGAGAATCTGATGAGCGGAGCATCTCAATGAGTGGTGGAACGGCACCTCTTTGGACAATGTGAACCTACAAAGTTTTCATTCAGAATCATGAATTCTTAACAAAAAACAAATGAACTAAAAACAGTCCTTCCCAAAAAAGATTTCTCACTTCCTAAATTAATTTGGGAAAATAAATTGACTCAACCTTGCAGTCTGAATCTGTAGCAGCAAATTGCCCCAGAAGTAATGCAGCTTCCCTTTGGCTCTCTGAACAGGAAGAACTGTGTAGAAAGACAATGGAGACTAAGTTTCATTACTAATGTAGCAAAATGGAGACTAGTTCCAGATATAGAGTCCTTGTACATTTAGAGTCCAAATGGACAGTCTTCCATTGTTAATATCACAAAGCCTTAAAAAATGGTAAGCCTAATGATACCTAAGTAACCCAATGACAGGTTGTAACGCTCCAGCAGCAAGAACATCCTTCTTGATATTGGGAGATGAGTGAACAAGATTGCCAATTACACCAACCTGACATGCCACCAATATTTCAAGTCCAAAAGGAATAATAGAAGAAGTCAAGAAGCAAGAGCCAGGTTATCTAAAACAAGCATGCGGTAGGCTTGAATTCTGAATAGTGGAATGGCTGACCGCTTCATAGTGTATTGCGCTATCTTCAGACCGAAGCATTAGAATAAGAGTGGGTAAAGCATTGCACTCCACTATCTGCAAGCAGTTAAAATATAGCCGGATAGCGCATTTAACTCAGAAATTATGGAATGTCCAAATGTGATTCTGCAATTCAGAAAATGGCATAAACCTGATTCTTGTTTTCATCATTTTTAAAGGCCAACGTTCGTAAGGCACATGCAGCTGCTCTTTGCACCTTCGCATCAGCAAACACAAGCAACTCAACAAGAGGAGGGATGCCACCCTCGACCCTAGAAGTAGAACTCAAGGGTCACAAAAAAATGTAGGGGACTAGGCCACTAGGGGTCTTGGAATCCATATCAAGCAAATTAACAGACCTAACACGTGTTTTAATGCAACTATTCTCATGAGCAAGATTGGTGATTGCATCTGCAGCTCTCCTGATCACACCATTGAGAGCACGAGAGTTTGGACTATCCTTATGCCTCTTCAGAATGCTGACAAGATGAGGCACGGCTCCAGCATTGACAATGAGTTGTTGATGCTCTGGCTGTTAGACACAACAACAGTAGGAGAACAACTTCATTAAGCAATAAAAACCTAAAAGTACATCAAATGTAAACAAATCAAGAATTGCAATTCCTTAACACTCAAGAAGGTGGCATGTACATTCAAAAGCCATATATTTTTGTACAAGACAGCTAACATATACAGTTTTTAGAGATTTTTTCTTTTATGCAATTAATTTTGTATAACAATAAACAATACTTCCTCCATCCCAGCTTAAACTTCTCATTTCTATTTTTTGGACGTCCCAGCTAAAGCTTCTCATTTCTATTTTAGGAAACAATTACTCCTCTTAAATGAAAAATTATAAATTAATCATCAAATATTAAAAAAATGCACCTATAACACCACAGTTATCATCAACGACCTCATTATGTTATATACCCATCAGAATTACTTCTGAAAATATACTTGAATTACTTTATTTAATTATTGTCAAAATAAGTGTCATTTTTCAATGAGAAGCTTAAGTTGGGACGGAGGTAGTATTAGTTACCCATATAGCAAACTCTATATATGTTATGGATGCATTCTAGGGTCATGCTTATCATACAGTTCAAACATACCTATATCCCACTAAAAAGTAGTGGGATAGAAAAAAGAGTGTTGCCGTCAAAATAAATTTTGCTGGGCAAACAATCTAGTGGAAATTAGCAATTGCACTTCATTATAATTTCATGACAACAAGTCAGTAGCATCAAACACTTTTTGTATGACTGCAGAATTAGTGAGGTGTTTAGTGAATGATTGAGGGTGCAACTAAATATGATGAAACAACCCCACTCTCTCCCCAAATTTAACAAACTATAGAAACAAATACCTATCTTCTCATTCTGGAGACCAGGGATTCCTTTCTGAATCACCTGATCACAAAAAATATGGTGGCTTCAAGGTTGTAATAGATATTATAATAGTTAAATTAAGATTTAAGTTTCATTATATCATCAATTTAAAAAAACTCAGATGGATTCACACAAGTAGATTTCTCGAAATGTCCAAGGGAATGGTATCAACTATCAAATACGGAGTAATAATTAGGGAAAAAATGAACTAATGGAGAATATGATAGACTGTAAGTACTTTTATGGCAAGCATCCCAAGAGTGAAAGCACTTCCTTTCTCGACCTCATGCTCGTGCGGGATTGGACCGGCTTCTCCATCCCTTGTAGGAGATGGCGGCAGGAGATGCTGCACAAGAGCCGGAACAGCGCCACAATCCACAATTACGTTCACAATATCCTCTGCGGACACATAAAATATAAGTGAACGCAATCTGAACTAAGGATATTTGAACCACAATCTATATGCATGCGTACAGGATAATAAGATCGGGAGGAAATGAGTGACAAATACAGTGATTCGAGTTACCGTTCTTTGCTAACTCGGAAAGGATATGAATGGCGCGTTTAGAGGCAGCTCGATCTGGCTCGGACGAAGAAAAAGACGCTCCGAGAATCTGCACTTGACTGCGGACCTCGCGGATGATATCTTGATGAGCATCGTCAGAGGAGAGAGAAACTGTTCTCAAGCGATCTTCTTCAAAATCCTCGTCCAGCTTCCTCTTCAAGCTCCTCTTCGAACTGGAGATCGAAGAGTGCTCGTTGCGCTTCAGGTTCTCCATGCGAGTGAAAGTCAGGGAAGAGGGATGCGTCTCTGGGCATAGGGAGGGAAACAAGTAGGGGTACTTTCGGATATAATCCACTGGTTTTTTTTTGTTTTTTCTTTTTCTCTTGTCTATACTTGTACAGCAAATTATGCAGAACATTCGAATTTCGATTCTTGCTCACGGCGATGTCTACATGGTACATCCTGCCCAAGTAAGTAAGACAGTCTGATACAGGCCAAAAAGAATTCGGTGTCATTTTTGTAATTTAAGCGAAAAATCACGGCATCCGCTAAATGAGCAATAATGTATTTTTGATGAGCATCAGATCTATTTTATTGAGTATTTAAGAGACTAACAATGATTATCATAACCCATGCTTCATATCTTCTAATTCTTTTTTCTTTTTCTTATTTTTTCTTTTATAAAAACTTATTAAATTATATCTATAATATCTATAATACACTCCTATTAATTTCAATATGCGAGTCTAATTTAATATGATACTTTTGAAATATGCATTGATATAACAATTAAAATATGAACATAACATCAGTACCAAATGAGCATACATAACTTACAAAGTGCACATTGATATAAAAAACATAAAGTTTGTTAGTTGAACATCACGACATTTTAATTGAGCATCAAACCTCCGTTATTGGCATGAAAATCACGATTTCTGGTGAATGAGCATTAATGAACTTTTAATGAGCAACAAACCTATTATGTTGAGTATTAGGAGTCTAATATTCAGAATCGTGATCTCTGCTTCATAACTTCTATAAAAACTTATTACATTATATTTATAATCAGCTCCTATGAATTTCAATATGTGAATCTAATGTAGAATGGTACTTTTAAAAATGCATTGATATGACATTTACAAAATGAGCACAAGATCAGTACCAGATGAGTATATGTAACTTGCAAAATGCGCATTAATATGAAAATCATAAGGTTTGTTAGTTGAATATCACGACATTTACATTGAGTATCAAACCTCATCGATTGAGATCGATGGAAATCACGATTTTTGTTATATGCGCATTAATGAATTTTTAATGAGCATCATGCCTATACAAATGAGCATATGTAACTTACAAGATGAGCATTGATATGAAAATTGTAAGTTTTGTTCGTTGAGCATCAAGATATTTTCAGTGAGCATCAAACTTCTGTTATTGAGTATAAGAATCGTGCGATTCAGTATAATGATTTGTGGTCTCGTGTCTATAATCAACTTTTATGTGAATCTAATGTAATATGAGATTTTTGAAATATGCATTGGTATAACATTTTAAAATGAGCATAACATTTTATATGACATGCATACATAAAAAACTTCAGTTGGAAGTTTGATTAGAGAAAGAAAAAATAGTTGGGACATTTACTAATATTTATATTATACACTTTCAAAATAATTGAATATAACATTAAAGTAGAAGGTTGTTAAAAACAAAAAATAAAACAAAAAAAGAAAGGAAAACAAACAATAAAAAACAAAAAATAAAGGAGAATAAAAAAATTAAAAAGAAAGGAGAAATGTACGAAACAAACTAACAATTGAAGTAGAAGTATCAAAGATCAGCCAAGTAGCCAACTCACGATACCGTAGAAGTGGATCAGGATGTCACGGGGTACGCATGCGGAGCAAAAAACTGGAAACAACTCAGCCTATTTATTATCCTTAAAGTTATTACTAATTACAAAATTACCAGATGTACATGTACACCCGGGTGTACCATATAATTTGCCTGCTCACCGAAGTGATCCGAATAGTCAGAATATTTTTGTAAATAATTATTTAATGAGGCATTTAGATGTCTTTTGTTTCTCTTTTTTCTTTTTCTTTCATCTTATCATCATATGTGTCAGTAGCTATAATTTAACTCTAAAATTAATTTCTGAGAATTCCAAAATGAATCAATCTATTGTTTTAAATAGTGAAATTGACTTAATTGAGTTCAAAATCAACGATGTGCCAATTTTTTATTGGTTAAAAAAATAAAACCACTATCACTAAAACATTTAATCAATTCTGTTACGCTATTTCATATGTCACTTATTTATTTTGTTGTGTACATATTTTTTTTGGTTGTAACGTTTGTGTATGTACGTAGTACTAGACTTAGAAAAGGAAACTATCTATCATTTACTTTCTTTCCTTTCTCCATGCATGGAAAGTATGTACTGCATGGAAAGTATGTACGTAGCACTCCACGTCTTCTTCAAGCCTAGATGTGTCCTGGGATGCACTGCCTGGCTTCCTTTAACACTGGTCCTTTCACTGAGTTTCCTTGAAGTATCACCACTTCACTACTCCAGTTATTTGGACGTCCTTCTTGTAGCAAGAAGAGTTTCTGTTGAAACAGGGGTTCCTCCAACTAGCTTCGTTACAAAATATTTGTATGTGATGAGCTTGAAGAGTTGAAGAACACTTGGAACTTTGCTTGAGTTGGAAAGAGTAATTTTCCAACTTCTGCCTTCTCTTGTAGAAGATAATGAGTTTGAATCTCAAGGAGGCTTTTTGCTTTTCAGAGTTTGAATATCTTGCTTGTAGCAATGTGATCTTGGCAAAGTTATAGCAAAGTTGTCCGGTTGTTCTTCGTAGTGTATCTTTTTATACTGAAGTTGTCTTCCCGTTGGAGGAGTAGGAGGACAACTGCATTTAATGCGCGAGCAGTTGACTTGACCAGTAGGACCCGGTAAAGTTGGCGGGTTACTATTTTGGGATAAAGTAATCCTGACATTGCGGCCAATCATCTGCAATTACTCCACGGAGCATGGGGAGCATTAAATGAGCATTTAATGCGAGCACTGTAGCTTTTCCGTTTCATACTCCTAGCCGTTGAAGGAATCTTTAAGTTGACTTCCCGGCTTTGTGGATTTCTTCCAAGTGTAAGACCTTCTGGTGACATTGGCAGAGAACTGATTCAGAGACGATCTTGAGCACTTCTGTTGAAAGTAGCTTACAGAGGATCAGTAGGGTTTCTGTCAAGCTGAAGGGTAACAGAGACCCTGAGGTTTTCTGTTCCTAGACAGAGAACCAAAATCTTCTGTCTGGAGGACTTCTGGTAGAGAGGCCTTCTGGTAGTCGATTATGCTAAGAACTTTACAAGGGAAAATTCTAATACATAATTTCTAAAAGGGGTACTCTAAAGTCCTAATTAATATAGCATCATCAAAATCTAAATACAATTATTCCTTACAATTTCCCCCTTTTTGATGATGCCAAAACCCTTTAACTATTTCCAGAGAAGTGCCTTCACCATAAAAATTTAAAGTTTAAAACTTTTCATTAAAATCTTGGTGGGCAACTTGGCATAGGAAAATAGTAAGAGTACGATACATTCAGATAGCAGTTCAAAAAGAAATAAGTACAGAATGAAATAGTAAGTAACAAAGAGTAAAGAAGCAAAGAGACTTTAGAAGGAGCAGAGATAAGCTTTTATTAGATCAAGAGTATTAAGAGAAGTTTTAAGGAATTACAGATTTTCCCTTTCAGCTTCAGCTCTGGTTCTGCGATCTTGTTCCTTCAGATTTTTCAGTTCAGCATTTACTTCTTCTCTTATGCCAACCAGATTTCCTGGTGCTTGACATGAGGCCCAAATGGGAGATAGCTTGCAATTTAGATAATGAAGTACTCCTTCATGTACATCCTTGCCTGGGAGTACTCTCTTGTGGAACCAGTATTCAGCCTCTTCCAAGGAGCCACCATGTCTGACCCTTATAAGACCATCTCTGTCAAGATAGAGATTCTGTCTTTGAGTTGGGGTCATCTTCTGTTGAATTTCTTCGAACTGTGCTCTATCAATCTTTTGGGAGCCTCCAAGTCTCCACTCAGTTAGGCTCAAGGGTTTCTTCTTCTTGGTAGAACCTCTGCGAGGAGAAGAAGGTCTTGAAGTACCAGCTTCTCTCTTCTTCTGTTGGGAGGCCTGGAAGTAAGGGGTTGGATCAATACCAGATGAGGGCCCAGCAGTTGGCCTAGGGGGCAATTTCTTCTGTTGGGGGTCCTTTTCCTTTTCCCCCTTTTTGGCATCATCCAGGTCAGAGATCATCATGGCAATCTTCTGGAACTCTGTTGCCTGGGAGATGGCTATCTGCTCAAGAGTTTCTGGCAAGGTCTGCGTGACAGAGGTCAGACCTTCTATTAAGTTCTGTTGACGATCAAGAGCAGACTTGATGTCCTGAGAGCCAGCTTCAAGTAGTATCAGCTTCTGATACCTTTCTTGATCCTTCTTGATCAGGGTGGCCACTTGATCTTTGTGATCATTATTCAAGAGTTGTAGCTGCATAAACTTCTCAGCAGATTGGTCTTCATACCATTGTACAATGTCAAGGGATTCTGTTATATCCTTGAGTTGTTTATTCTGCTTATTGAGAATCTGAGACTGGGAGTAGAGAACAGAGTGGACACCATCCACTTCTTTGGCAACAGCATTAAGCTTTGCAGATGATGATTCCATGAAGGTGACCAGAGTCTGGGTCAGAGCTTCAACCTTCTCTGAGATATGCTGAAGTCCAGCCTCAAGATGATTGTGAACAAAGGTGAGATGTTCATGGTGCTTGGTGTTGATTTCAGCCAATTGATCCATTCCATCAAGCATTTTACCACCAAAATCCTCAGCTGCAGTGACAAACTGATTGAAGGAGATTTGGGGCTTATCTTCTTTGGGTTCTGTGTTCCCAGGCATACCTAGACCTCTTGATTTAGACATAGGAGGCCTTCTGGGTTGTTCTTCATGCTGAGGAGGGGTCTTCCTCCTTTTGGAAGTTTCATCAGCAGCAATGGAGGATGTAAGAAATCCATCATTGTCACTGGAAGAGGATGGCACCCTGAAGATAGGTTTCCTGATGGGAGTAGAAGCCACAGAGTGTTGAGGGGAGATAGGAGTGGCTGCATCTTGTGGTGTAGGTTGTGGAGAAGCAGTTCTGGATTTCTTGATGGAGGGGTTTTCTTGTTGATGTGTGGGAGCATTCTGTTGTTGTGAAGGAGAGGGTGGAGGTGATGGTGATCTGGATCTGATTGAGGGTTGGGATTTGCAGGGAGATGGATTTTTGGTTTTGGGTGAAGAGGTATTCTGTTTGGGTGAAGGTGTAGGGGAGATGACTTGTTGGTGTTGGTATGGGATAATTTGTCCTTGAGGGGATGGTGATTTGTTCTTTGGAGGAGAGAACGGTTT